CCCTGGGGGGGCCCCCCTAGGGGAGCCAAAGGGCTCCTGGGGCAGCTGGGGGCCCCTGGCAGCTGCAGAGGGCCTCACAAAAGGGACTGTTGCTGTTGCTGCTGCTGCTGCTGTTGCTGTGCCTGCTGCTGCTGCTGCGTCGGCTGCACCAAAACGAGAACAGGAGGCCCCTGGGGGGCCCCAGGGGCCCCCAGGTTGGGGGGCCCCCCACTGCTGGAGTATCCAGCCCGGGGGCCCCCCCTGCTGAGAGCCTGGGCCATAGGGGGGCACATTGCCCTGGCTTATGAGGGGCCCCTGCATGGGGGGCCCCCCTGCTGCAGTAGCAGGCTGTGGCTGCAGCGAGGGCCCCAGGAAAGCCCCTGGGGGCCCCCCCAGAGGCCCCCCTCGGGGGACCCCTAGGGGCCCCCCCAGAGGGGCCCCCACAGGCACCCCCATAGACCCTCCCAGGGGGACCCCCAAGGGGCCCCCCAGGGGGGCCCCCAGGGGGGCCCCCAGGCCCCAGCTCAGTCGCCCTGGGCTGCTGTGTAGGGGGGGGGCCCCCACCCCCCAAAGGGCCCCCATAGGAGCCACTGAAGCGCCCCAGGGGCCCCCAGGAAAGGGTACCCCAAGGGGCCCCTCGGGGGCCCCCCTTGGGGCCCCCGCAGCAGCAGACACCATTTGCCGAATGTGGGTTCGGGTCAAGTGAAGGTTGGGGGCCCCCCTCAGAGATGAGGGGCCCCCTTTGGGGGCCCCCTGGTTGCAGGGGCCCCTAGGGGAAATTCCAGAGAGGCCCCGGGCCCCAGGGGGTACCCAGGCTTTCCTAGGGGGGATGGGGGCCCCCAGCATTGCTGCTGCTCTTGCTGCTGCTTTTTTTGCTGCTGCTGCTGAGCGTGGAGACGCGGCTGCTGCTAGCGCGCGTGCTGCTGCTGCTGCTGTTCGCGGCGTGTCCGGCGCTGCTGCTGCTGCTGCTGCATGCCCTGCTGCTGCATGCGCTGCTGCTGCATGCCCTGCTGCTGCTGCTGCTGCCGCTGCTGTCTCCCCTGCTTGAAGTGCAACAGCAGCAACAGCTGCAGCAGAAAGGGGCGTCCTTGCTGGCGTCACTGCAGCAGGAGTGTGGGGAGCTGTTGCTGCTTCTGTTCCAGTTGTCCCTGCTGGCAGGCCTGCTGCTGCTGCTGCTGCTGCTGCTGCTGCATGCCCTGCTGCTGCTGCTGCTTCCGCTGCTGCTGATATCCCTGCTGCTGCTGCTGCAGTCACCGGTGTACGTACACTGCGCTGTATGCGCTTGCTGCTGAAGTCCCCCACGGGGCCCCCAAGGGACTCAGGGGGCCCCCGAGGGGCCCCTTGGGTTACTTTGCTGCTGGCGGGCCCCCCTTGGTGGGGTTGTTGTTCTTGTTCTGTCTGCAGCAGTTGCGGGGGGGCCCCCCGCATGCTTGGGAAGCTTTGGGGGCCCCCTTCAGGGGGCCCCCCAGTGGCTTCTGCCTCTAGAGAGGCCCCTGGGGTGGTCTGGGGGCCCCCAGCAAACTCACTGGGGGGCCCCCCTGGGATGGGGGCCCCCCTGGGGGTTGGGGGCCCCTTTGATGTGGGGGCCCCCTTGGGGGTTGGGGGGCCCCCTGGGGCGGGGGGCCCCATAGGGCGTAGGGGGCCCCCCTGTGTGGGGGCCCCCAAAGGGGCTGGGGGGCCCCCTGGGGCAGGGGCCCCCATGGGGTGTGGGGGCCCCCCTTGTGGGGTGGCCCCCCTGGGGGTCAGGGGGCCCCCTGGGGTGGGGGCCCCCCTGGGGGTTGGGGGGCCCCTAATGGAAAGTCTGTGGACTGGCAAAGGTCTTATTCTTTGACTAATTATATTATTGTTCTCGAGTGCAAGTTGTACAGAAACCCCACACACTGGCCGCTGCTGCTCCTGCTGCTGCTGCTCCTGCTGCTGCTGCTCCTGCTGCTGCTGCTTCACCAAGAGAGTGATGTGATACTCGCCGCTGCTGCTCAAAGGAGGGATTGAAAGGGGGCTGCAATCGGAGTGCAGCAGCAGCTGCTGCTGCCTACTTCCGCAGCCGCCGCTGCTGCTGCTGCTGCTGCTGCTTTTGCTGCTGCCGCCGC